ATTAAAGGTAGACAGCATCTGCAATTGCGGATGTCTATGGGCAGCGGTCGCTTTCCATTTCGGTGGATTTAGGTGGCCACTTGCTTGTTTGCTACCTTGTATTATAAAAAAAAATATAAACTAGCTTTAACTCTGTGTAGAATAAAAACAGTAACCTACGTGTTCTTTCAGATTTTCTGCATCTATGCCAATAATCGATATCCGTTAAGTTCTTTAGGTTACAAACTCTAACAGACATTCATCTAAACTTTCGCATTTATAATATTAGTAAGACATGAAAATTTAGATTGATAGATATTTGTTAGAGTTTACCTAAACAGCTGAACGGATCTCGATGAAATATGGCATAAATGGATTACTAAAAATTAGCAAGTCTATTTGCATTAATACTCTCAAATATAGATAACTAACTCTTAGTGCGGCACAGGTGAGTCCCGCGCGCGTGCTGCCAGCTCCAGAAGTGAATACAGAGCGTGGCGTTAACTCCGCACCCGCGCGGAGTAACTGCGACTTTCCTGTACCTGAGATTAATTTTTTTTCACCTTATTTATACAAGCCTATCTGTTACTCGCGACTTCGCTTGCATGAATTTAAAAAATATTAATAGAAGCCTATGTACTGATAACGTAGCTTTCTAATGGTGGGTTTTTTTTTTAATCAATCCAGTAGTTTTTAAGGTATTTCAATACATACAAAAATACAAATCGTTCCTCATTAAAATATTACTATGAATTGCAAAGAGAAGGAAAAGAGTATATTTCCTATGCGTCTTCACCGTCAAATCCGATTTCCCTTCCTATCTTTTCTTCGTAAAAAAAAGAGTTAGAAGGATAAGTTACTAAAATTAGACCTCCGGCACACACATATATTTTGGAATTGCATCCACTTCACGCCAGTTTTGTGATTGTGGGATGGAAATCCTACTTCTCTATTATTTTGGGACATGACTTCTATCAAAATTTTAAGTCTATGTTACCTGGATCGCCAACTAACAGCAAATGACACTGTCCTCTAACATGTATCGCGTTTTTATCATCCTTAACTTCATTAGAGTCATCAAAGGCATGATTTGAACCAGTTATCACAGTTAGTATTACCGCTAACTTCACTAAGTGTAACCCATACACCTGAAAATGAGGAAAAAATAACAATTATTTTGAATTGTTCATTATTAATTAGAAATTACAATATAAATGCAGATTTGCAGATGGAAAGACAAGTTTTTTAATTTTTTTTTTAATTTCAGCAATGTAAATCTATCATATTGACATATTATGTTTGTTTTTTCTTACTATTCCAGACTATTATATTTTTTATTTAACAAATACATATTTTCTAAAATGTACACCTCCCACTAGCAATGTCATACTTTCACGTCGCCAGCAGGGTTCGGTAACTAGTATAGAAAAATTTAAAATAAACATAAAATCTTCGATATTTAAGAGAATAACTACTACCAGAATCTTTTGTTTTAACTAACCTGTGGACATACCGACGCTAAAATCTGGTCTCTGCCTTTTAATGGACAGGCTTCAAATTTACTCCAAAATTCATTAAAGCAATCTTTAACATCTGGTGCTGAAGCAATCACTTCTGATCTTTGAGCGTTACTCACTTCTAAATAATTAGCTTGCATCACTAATTCTACTTCAGATTTTTTGTTTAGCACTGAAGGACGCCAGCGACGACGAATTGTTCCACTAAAAAATAATTTTCTCAATAAGAAACTAAGCATAATTTTTTCTACAATTTTCATGCATTACTGTAGACTGGTACAAACATATTTTTTTTAAATTAGTGTTTTCAATGTCTACTTAATTTTTAATTCTATATTATTACTAGTATGAATGCGAAAGTTTAGATGGACAGATGGATTGATGGATTAATGTTTGTCGGAGTTTGTAGGCTCAACGGCTGAACGGATCTCAATGAAATTTTGCATAGATGTAAAGCATAGTCTGGAAGGACACATCGCATACGCATACGGAGTCTTGGGCGAAAGCTAGTTTAATTATGAAAATAAAAATGCACACTTACCATATATTAACATCATCACCAGGCTTGCAACAATCCACCAAATCATCTTCTAGAACTACCCACATTGATCCCGGTATTGTACCTATACTAAGCTTGTTTACTTGTTCCTGAAAGAAACAGTTTCCTCATCATATTACCTTCAATATGAAATCTAACGAACTACTAAAAGCTAACCAAACCAAAAGAAATATCTAATATACTTGTCACTGGCTACACATAGGTCTTCTTCCAGGCATTTTTTTTATTTTTTTATAGTAAAAGAGGACAAACGAGCGGCGTGTACACCAAGGTGGTCAACAACGCCCATGGACATCCGCAACACCAGAGGAACTACAGATACATTGCTCTACATCTATACCATTCAGCAGTTTAGACTACAAACTCTTAAAAATCATCCATCTATCTAAACTTTTGCATTTATATTATTTAGTAAAAAGTAAGATGTTACCTGTATTTTAATTTCTTGATAATCTCTACAATATTCTCTTGATACAAGATTCACTTGAGTAAATGTTGAACACTTGCACCTTGTGTCATTATTACCACATTTAGATGGAGCTCTTAAAATATATCGGTTCTCAAAATCTGCTTCAACACAGTTCTCAAACTTACACTTCATACATACATACTTTCGTTGATATTCTAGCATTTTTGTTTGCGTCACTCTTACAACTGTACCTGGAATAATAATGTAACTTACTAAACTTAACAAAATCTAATTCATAAGATAGACATTCCTTAATTCTATTTTGTAACATAATTCCAAAGAAATTTATATAAATATGGCCATTACATTAGAGTGGAGAAGCTATGCTTTAGTTAAATATCTTTATATTTATGTATTTATTACCTGATACTTTTAAAAAACATCCCATATCAACATTTTTCGGAAAAATTGTGCGATGTAGCTCAGGGCAAACAGGTAATCCAAAAAATCTGGCTCGTACATTTCTTTTCAATGACGTATATTTTAGTTGGCTAATTAAGGTGATGTATTCCTCACTTTCTAGAATAGTTTGTTGTGCTTTGATTATATCGTTATTGCATATTGGTAGAATTTCTACGGGACTACAGAGCACCTTGTCCCCAACATCTGGATATGTTTCAAATAATTTCATGAAACTGAAAAAATATGATATTTTTTGACTTTATAATTATGAAAAGGAATGGAGTAAACTGCATTTTAAGTTTCCCCTTACTCGATTTTAATATTGTAATAACCTAAGTTGTCTAATTCAGATAAAATATTTGAAATATCTTGTAAATGAAACTTAAATAAATAGTCAAATATCATTTTGATTTCACAAGTTTATCATTTGATGTATATGTTTAAATACGATTTATATGTAGTTTCACTGCATAAAACGTATTTATAAATATAAATTCATTTCAATTTCAAATAACAACAAAAATTGATGTTTACTTTATACTTCAAAATAACGTCAAAACGTCAACGTCAGGTGCAAAATCAAGGAAAAAAAACGATTCTTTAAAAAAGGGTGCGTTCAGTGAAACATTAACCAAAAAAAAATGTTTTTGAAACAAGCATCGACATCTACAAAGCAGTTCTTCCATGCATAATTTTTATGTAAGTCTTATAGTTTAGGCTACGTAAAACCCCACTTTTTGTGACGCGATTTTGAGCTAAGCTAAATCGGTCCACCAGGGGCGAAGTTATGCCGTAACACACATAAAAAAGCACACAGACGAATTGAGTACCTCCTTCTTTTGGGAAGTCGGTCAAAAATAAAAAAAAATACCTTCAACACTTGCTAAATGCCAACTGTAAGTTGTTTTTGCATAATTTGCAATTGTTCAAAATAATAAGCTGAAGCTTTCAATAGTACTCTCAAGGAATTATTATTTTAAAATAGGTGACCGAAAAGAAACAGAAATTACTGGACATTAAATCTGTAATGATTACTTAATTTTCCTTAATAAAGAGTGATTTATTACAAGGGTTGAGTAATATACAAGTTGGATATAACTTTGGATGGAATTTAAGAGAGTGATCAATGTCAGGCAAAAAGGTATTGGTGATTCAAATAAAACCGCTCTTATACTAAAATCATTTTATAGTATTATATTCGACACATCTGGATGGATCAGTTGGAAAGTATTCCTGACATTTAGTCATAAGTCGTTTCAAAGCTTGTATATATTTTCTTTGTGTTTCATCGTTCATCACATGGGCGACATTCTTAGAGAAGATCTTCTCCCGGCCGGTACGTGCGTGGATACCTACCATGGTTACACCAATGGGCCACGGCGCGTTGCCTATCGCCATTTGTAGGTAGGCGTCACTAGCCTGAAATCATACTATTAATACAGATGCGAAAGTTTAGATGGATGTTTGTTAGAGTTTGTAGCCTAAACTGAATAGATCTTGATGAAATTTGGCATAGATGTAGAGGATAGTCTGGAAGAACACATAAACCACTTATTTTATTTTTAACTACACATGGATGGTTGCGGACTAAAGCTAGTGATAACATAAATTTCTTTATAAATTATGTTATGTATTTGATTGTTTCTGGGTGTATGTGTGTGAACTTTAAAAATATCTTATCTATACTAATATAACAGAAACATACACTTCTTTGTTATGTAAGTTGTCACCAATCACACCGTTTTTAATTTCTTTTTTTTTATCAAAAACCCTACAATCAGCTTATATACAGGGGGTGATTTACTGATTTTTTTTATTTTTATCATACTAGAAAGGGAAAAAATACAAAACAATAGCAGCAAAGAAGCGACATTGCCATGGCAATGGTAATTTCTACACAATGACAAAGACCTTCATTATCATTTGAATTTGACTCATGGAATTTAAAAAAGTTATTTTCTAGTAACAAAAATAGTCTTTGTTACTTAGTTATGTAGCTTACTGGTAAAATATTTTTTGATACAAGTCCAACAGAATTAAGTTTTAGAATTTACTTGTTATATACAAAAATATAAATCTCTCCTCTATCCTAATATTATAAGACAAAAGATTTGTATTTTTGTATGTATTGAAATAACCCAACCCAACAGGGCAGACTACAAAAACTCTTTCACCTTCAACTTTAACAGAAATGTTATACATACCATAATATAGTTCCTTTCTAATAAATGCTTTGTTATTTCCATGAGACTGTCACAAATGTCTTCTGGCAAGGATTTCTTTTTTAATTTCCTTGTTAAAGGTTTCAGATACACTTGTGTCTGTGTGTACGTCGCTCTCGCCATTTTATGTTTTGCAGAATTCTTTTCAGCCGCTATCGCGGAATTTAATTGTTGGCCCCACATTTTTAGTAGAAACTGCAAAATACATAAAAACAATTGTTATAAGTAATTGCATTTTACTTAGATCTATACTAATATTATAAAGAGGAAAGATTTGTTATTTTTGGTTTTGTACATATTTAATTAACTCAAAAAGGACTGGCTAGATTTCAAAATTAATTCACCAATCAAAAGCTCTTATTTGTAAGTAACATAGACTATGTTTTTTACTATTTCTAAATTACAATTGGATGGAGTCGGGAGCAACAACTAATGTTTCATATTTTTAATTAAGATATCATACCTGCAACAATGTCATGATGACTGTCATATCATGATTTCTGTCACCCTGACCCATAGTTTTTGCCATTTCTTGAATAAATTCATATGTGATGGAATCATCCAAATCATCCTCATTGTGAGCTTTTTCATTGTCATTCTGAAATCAATACATTTTACTTATTTATTATTTATCCATTTATTTAAGTGACATAGTCAATAAATAGTGTTTTATTTTATTTATTTTTATTTTATAGTTATAAAAAAAAATTCTTACAAAACTACACTACACCATAAATCTACAATATGTAATTTAATGAACATTAAAATTTCTAAGCTCAAAACTACATTTCTGCAGTATATTTGGATAATATGGAAATTCTAATATTAGCACTGTGCTTAAATCATTTTAAACCTTTAAGCAGTTAACTAAGTTCTAATTTAATCAAAAACTTTAGCTTAGCAAAATACTCTTTAAAGTATGTTTATACTTCCATAAGTCTGGCATGAAAACATTAAAAGTATAGAAATAAAAATACTTACATTTGTCCCTAATGCTAATATTTCATTCAAATATGCTTGATCAACTTTCTCCATAGCTTCTTGGAAGTCATTTCTTAAACCCTAAAAAGAGAATTTACAAAAATCACATTAAAAAATTACATCAATGACATGCTAAAGTCAAACTGCTGTTGAAAGTAAGAAAACAGCCATACAGCTAAGTTAAAACCAACTTAACAAACAAATTAATAGTTTAAACTAACTTTACAGACAAACCAACTGAACAAACTGACCAGTTGAAACCAACTGAACACTCCAATGTTTAGTTAAAACTGTGTAATTTCGAAAAGTTTAAGTATCTTTAACTTACTCTATTTGCTTCAGGTTCCTGAATTTCTATCCTTCTCAATCTTCTGAATGATTGAACTTCACTCTCTCCAAATAAAATGATTGGATGTCCACGCTCCCTTAATCTTTTTACCACTTCAGTTCTAGGAAGAGTAGCACTTTCTGTTTGCTCACTTTCATTTTCTTTTTTCTTTACTAAAATTAAAAAAATATGTTAAACATGTGAATGTTTGTTACTATGTATGTCCAAAACAGCTTAACAAATCATGTTGAAATTTGGCACAGGTATAGAACATATTCTGAAAGAACACATACACATCTTTATAAGTACAGTGCAGACTAAGTCGTGGGAAACGGTAGATTATAAATAAACTCACCCTTTTCTTCATCTTCTTTTGATTCACTTTGTGGTTCCTCAGGTTTCAAACCATACTTTTTCAAGTACTCTTCTTGCTCCTTTGCTAAAAGCTCGCCTCTCTTGAAGTATTTCTTAGTTGAATTCTGATTATTAAGAAAAAGTAATTAGACGACATCAGCCTAGCGATAATGAAAACACAAACATTTAACTATACATACCAAAATATTCTTCTCTTCAATAAGTTTACGTTTTTTAGCTATCTCTGCTTTAAGAATATCCATCTTAAAACAAAATGTATGTAATATGCACAATTCTACATTTATATAATTTTAAATTATATTCTGTTATGTATTTATTTGTTAAAAAATTTTATTTCGTAAAACACAAGATCAAGACGAGAGCGTCACCAAATGACAATTGACATTGTCAATGTCATTTTTTTACAGCTAAACTTGACATTAGCTTTTTTATTGCCAGATTTCAACTAAATAACAACAGAAAAATCATAATTGCTTTAGGTAACTATTTTAATTCAAGAATTCGTATCTAATAGAAGCACAATTTATTAGTCAATTTGCTTCATAAACTGATGTTTTAAGAATTAACAATAATTTGGCTGAAAAACTTACGGTTAAACATACAAACAGCCGGCTATGTAAAGCTCTCAATTTTATTTCGTTATTCAAATTAATGCAACATAAAAACATAATAAAAAGGAACCACTCTTGATAATGACTACTTCAAGTTTTATAATCCCACTTTTTGTAGTTAGTAGAGGAACTACAGTTACAAAACACTCATAACCAATCGGTATAGGTGGTTAGCAGAGACTATGGATTTCGAATTTGCGAAATACTGGTACACTTTTCTATTGTACAAGTATGAAACACCTTTACAATCCTGCTGGCTGGTCACGGATACCTACTTCCTTTCATTTGAGCTAGATAAGAAAAATTCTTTGTATTCCGTATAAGGAAATCACGAAGATGACTATTCACACCGGCTTTCTTTGAATTGTTCTTAACATCATTACCATGATGATAACACTATCACAGCTAGTATAATATGATACGGAAGATAAAATGTTGTGATTTAATCATTAACTATTATCAAAGTAGATTTATGGCCATTATGCTTGTATTTACCAAAAAACAGCATTACCGCTAGTGTTTACATGAAAAGAATGTTCTTTCAAAAGTCAACACAATTTAATATTTCCTTTTATTGTTTACTTTGTATCAGTTATTTATCAATGTCTGAAGGTTAAAATAAAATATATTTTTGTTATGCTGTGATAAAGGATAATAGACAATGAGTTAACTTATTCATATAATTATAGGATTTTCGCCTAGATTAATAGGTGGTGATCGAGCTCCACAAGAATTCGGTAGATTCCATGGGTCATTACAAAATTTAACTGGACATCATGTTTGTGGCAGTGCAGTTATTTCTCGAAGACATTTGCTTACTGCGGCGCATTGTGTCAACAGGTAAGGTATATAGTTTTTTTTTTAAACAGTAATTTTTACAGCCAACATATTTCATATTAATTTTACAAATGGGAAAGTTTAGATGGATGTTTGTTACAGTTTGTAGTCTGAAAGACTGAACGGATTTCGATGATTTTTTTTAATAGACGTAGAGGATAATTCGAAAGAACATAGGCTACACTTTCGTTTTTTTTTAATTCCACGCGGACCGAGTCGCGATTCATAACTAGTGATTCACATTTTTTTCTAGAGTTAAACCACGATATATTAAAGTAGTTGTTGGAACAACTGATTTATACAAAGGTGGTAAAGAATTTAGTGTAAAAAGTATACATTTGTATCATGGATATAATTTTACTCGAAGAATAAATGACATAGCTATAGTTAAGATTAGAGGAACATTTAACCTGAGCTATATTGATGTACTCCAACTTCCGAAAAGTAATTTGCAAGATCGAGATCCAGTTATTTTATCTGGATTTGGGGCAAAAGAGGTACTGTAATACACATGACAAAAAATTAAAATTAAACAGTGTTTTTATTAAAATCAAATTATACATAGAAATTTATTTCAAACAGCCTTACGGAGACTCTAGTCGCAAGATGTACGCATTAAATTTGACGGTTTTTTGTCAGAAAACTTGTCGTTATGCTATGCGTTATTCGAGAAATGTAACGGATTCAATGTTTTGCACTTTTACGAGGATCGGTCAAGGAACCTGTCATGTGAGTTGATTTTTTTTTATTTTTGAATACGTGTTTTTTTTTGCATACATATTTTTTTTTAATTCATAGGGTGATTCTGGCAGCCCTTTAATCAAAGACAATGTGCTCGTTGGTGTGGTATCATGGGGAATACCTTGCGCTGTAGGTTTCCCTGATGTCCATACAAGAGTATATCCTTACATCAAATGGATAAAATCAATTACATTTGGAAACCACTACAAAACAATTGAAGTTAAAACAGAAGTTAAATTATCTTTATCGAAATATAAATAACGAAATATGAATGAACTATAGTATGATTATAAAAAAACGAAATAAAAACCATAAAAGTACTTTATGCCATTTTATTTCTAAATTTTAAGATTTTAGACTTATCCACCTGTAAATAAACAAGAAATGATCTCAATTTAAACATGTTCTGAACCTAAATAAATACACGTAAAAAAACTGCCTAAAAACATTAATTTCAAAACAAAGGCAACCACAAACGTGTAATAAGATTCTACGCAATCTTTCAACAAAATTGTACCTTATACTCATAGTCATACGTAGTCACATCCGCCAGCACAGCGAGCACTGGCCTGCCGTGCGCGCACTGGAATGGCGTCCTACAGCTAGATAGAGTACTGATGAGTGTTGCACATTCCCTCTTCGATAGTTTTTCTCCAAATTTTATTGCATATCTACAAGCCTAGAATAAATTATGATGTCTCGTTTCATAGTTATAATTCGACTGAAGTGTTCGCAAGTGGAAATGAATCTAATTTTCTGGTATATAATTTTGCATCTGACCTCACTATACACAAGGTCCATAATTGATTTTGGATACAACAAAGTGTTACCTCCTTGAGATTTTATTGCTTTAATTTCTTCTAAGATTAGCTTTTTAATAGATTGTATTATGACGTCAGCCTGTAAGAAGTATTACAAAATATCCTTAAGAAAAAAAAAGTTTACTAATATTTCAAGATTTTTTTTTGTATAGAAAATTGAGAAAATAAATGATTACCTGTCTACAATATTTTCCAAATAAAGCTTTGGGTACAGCATTAATAGTGATTAAAGAATCGCTTTCTATTTTCCAATCTAGACCAAATTGTTTAAATTTATCTCTAAAATTGTTGAGGTAAAGAACATCGTCTTTAGAAAGCTTCAATGAGATTGTTTCACAATTTATACTATGCCATTGGTCAACATCTTTATAATCTGGTTTTAAAAAACATGTGGTTTTAAGATTTTTTGAAAAAAAAAAAATATAAATCATACTAATTTTACTGATGTTACCAACACTATAAATACGAAAGTTTAAATGGATGGATGTTTGTAGTTTGTAGCCTAAAAGACTGAACGAAATACGAATGCTGAAGAACACATAGGCTACTCACTTATGTTATTTTCAATTCCACGCGGACGGAGTTGCTGGTGAATGTTAGTATTTGAATATATCAAAAACTATTACATTTTTTTTAAGTTACCTGATAAATTCTCTTCCAGTGAAATTCTTTCGTGAACAGCATGTTGGTCAAATAATACCAAATGTTTCATATTGATATTTTCGCTTTTTAATTCTGCGCATATGAACTTCCTGTCAACTTGACCGAATACCTAAAAAAAACCGAATTTTAAAGATGTATTGTACATATTGTTTTCTAATGAAACAGATACTAACTTTTGCGTCCTTAAGAGATTGTGTGTTAAATTTTAAACAATTCGGATCTTTGTTAATCTTTTTAGTTACTTCACTCATGTTTGAAACTTTATTTTCATATATTTTTATATTGTCCAGTACATCATTTGCAAAATTGTTATAAAGATCCTATAATCAAATTATATATTTTTTCTATAGATATTCTTAAGCAATAATAATAATAAAAATGAAATTAAAAAAATAATCAAAACATACATCTTGAAAATAATCTGTCTCTAAATTGTATGAGCAGATATTTTTATTGTTGCAGTTTTCAAATATTGGTGACATTCCTAGAAACATAAAAATAGTCAAAAACAAGTATTAAAAATTATTCCTTAAATTCATTTAAAAATCTTTACCTTTAGGTACAAAACTATGTCTGCGTTGTAATTTAAAATTTTCAGTAATTTTTCGTTTTTCATTACCAGCATTTGGCATTATTTCAGCATTCTCCTCTACAATTTGTAATTCATTATTTTTTAATTGATTATCTTCAATACTTATTATTTTTTCATCATCTTTACTAGATTTAACAGTATCACTATTATTTGAATTTTCTGTATCCATGTTTTGATTCTCATTGATTACATTATTGTTTTTTACCTCAATAATATTACATCCATTCTCAATCCTTGTGTTGTTTGCAACTAAATTAGAATCTTCATTTTGTTGTCTTTCCTCAACATTCTTTTTTTCTTTACTATATTCTTCGCTACTGAACAAATTTTTTGATTTACCCATTTGCAATATTTGATCTTTTTGTACTGTTTGAAAATGGCTTGATATTACTTCTTCAGTAATTACGTTACCTGATTTATCAGCAATATCTACTACAGGACAATTATCGTTTTGATTTTCGTCGAGTTGATTTATTTTTTTACCGCTTTGCTCTCTATTTAATATATTAGGGTAGTCATTTAAAGATAAATTTTGGATATTTTCGATAGTTTGAAAATACCGTGACAATACGTCGTTTTTATAAGACGGAGAATTATTAGAAACATGTCCTGTATTATTTCCAGTAGCTAAATAATTAACGTTGTCTTGAATTGTTTTTTCTTTGTCCATATTGACTTCATTATTAAAATAAACAGCTTCACATAAGTTGATAGGTTCTATTTGGTTATCACTTTTCTCAGTGAAATTGAATGCTGGCATTTTAGAGTTTAAAATGTTCACTTCTAAATTATTTTCTTCTAAGTTCTGTATTACGGTAGGGTCTTGATGCGTTTCTTTTTCAATTAATTTTGCTGAACTTAAATTGTATCTGAGATATGAAGCTACAGATTCCTGATTAAGTGTTGCATTGGTATTTAAATTGTTTAGGTAATTTTCTATATCTAATGATACATTTGAGTCTATAATTGTATATGTATTTTGTACATTGCCTGTTATTTTGTACTTCCATTGTTCTAAGCTTGTATTTTTGTTGGCATTGTACATATTAGTAGAAAATTCAATCGTATGTGAAGATTTATGTTCATAATAAGGCACTTTTTTTGTTGGCTCTAAATAAGGATTTTTATTTAATTTTTTTCTTTTACTTCTGTTGTTGTAATGTTGTTTAAAATGAGATTTGTTAATTGGTGTTACATTGTTGTGCTGATTATTGTGGAGATTGAAATTGTCTTTAGATTGCTTACTAATAAATCGTTTTAGCTTATTATTTCGCATCATAGCATCATTTAAATTATATTTATGGCTTTCGAAAGTCAGTTTAGGAAACGATTTGTAAATATGTGTTGTTGAAAAGTTGGTTTCTATTCCATTAATGTGTGTATTTCTATCATTATGCCTATCATATTGGTCTAAATTTGAAGTCAGTTCCCATTCATTTTGGACGTGGATGATATCTCTTTCAATATTGTTGTATTTGTTTTCAAAACATTTTTGTATGTTTCGCAAATTATCAGTTTGTTTTCTTATATAAGTACTATAATCAATATCGGGAAATTGATCATTATTTCTATAGACTGTATCATTTACAATATCATTGTTTCCTCTTTCAATAGATTGGATGCAATTTTTTTGATGGAGTGTTCTTTTCTCATAGAACTTATTTTGGTTTTTGTAAGGCCTTTTGAATTGTACAATATTTTCTTCACTATAGACTTTTTGGCTATTTAGAATTGTGTTTAAAAGATCACCTGATTTTAGGTAATCTTTTCCAACTCTATTTAAAGGCGTAATGCCATTAAATGCTAATTTGTGCTCATAGAATGTATGAATATTATTTTCATTTTGAAGAAAAGATGCATCTCCTTTCGCATCAAACATGCAAGGATTTTTATCTTTTATTTCATTTATCTTTCTTTTCTTTTTCTTTACTTTCTCACTATACATTTCTAATGCAGTTTCTTGCGTGTATTGCTTCATTATAGGATCGATTTTTTGCTTTTTCCTTTTCCTTTTAAATGATATATCTTTTATGGATGTCTTTTTATTTCGAGCAACAAGTAAATTGTTATCTTTTGCTGTATCTTCTATAACTAAAGATGTATTTTCCTTAAAATTACTGAGGTAACCTAGGTCTGCTAATTCTTGATTATTTGTATGAGTATCAACCGACTTTTCTTTCTTGTTTTGCTGAATTTTGGGCTCAATTTTTAGCTTAGGTTTATTTTTTCCCTTTACTTTAATACTTTCAAAGAATCTCTTAACAATAAGATTATTTGCATTTTCAGTATTCTTAATTGGTACTTGAAAATTCATGCTTATAGGAGCTTCTATTAATGCAGATAATTTTTCTTTGGGATTGTGATCAGTTTCTTTGATTTTTTTACCTACTTTATGCATTTTTTTAAATCCTTTCTTGCTGCTTGAATTTAGATTTTTCTTTTTCTTCACTATCTTACCTTGTAACAAAATATTAGAAATTGTAAGATTGAATATAATAACATGGGAACATTAGTTGCCACCAATGGCAACTTATGCAGTCTCATAAGTAAGTAAACACTTAGTGACATAAATCTGAATGTATCAAAGTCATGTACACTTACCTTTAACACCTTTTCGTAATTGTGATATTTCATGACCTTTAGTTTTATTCCCCAATACTTTCTCTATAATTTTCCTCACTTCTTCTCGTGTATTTTCGATTTTGTTTTTTCTTTCAGTTTGAGATACTTCTAATTTGTTCAATTTTATATCACCTTTGTAGAATTGGACTAATTTTTCCAACAACTCCCTAATTTGTTTCCAATTTTTGAATTCTGTAATTGTTTTTGTTGAATCTCTATTTATGTCATAGTCTAAATAAGGACATGTTATGAATATAAAATATGTGGGTATATCATTTTTTTGCAAGTTCTTCTCGAAATCAAGAAAAATATTCTGAAATACAAAGATTAGGTTGTAAATGGATATTTTAGTGAACATTAAAAACCTCTATGGTAAAAAGGAAAATGTATAGTCATTTAATTTTAAAGAAGCTGATTTTTTTAAGTTATGTTTTACAAGGTTCTTATTTCTATCTTAGCAAATATTCATAAAATTTCCAATAACATGACTTTTTTCTCCTACAAAATGGGTTAAAAATTGTCCAAATGTTAAATAAAATCTTTCTCTATATAAAGTTTGAAACGATTTGTAATTTGTTTACTTTTTCCCAAAATGAAAACCAGTGTTTTTGTATAATTTCTGATTAGATTAGAAACGAAAGGTGTCTATTACTTTTAAGAACTTACCTTAGTCTTCACATTTCTACAAAGTTGTTTATTTTTTATAAAACTGTTGTTTATTATATCATGAAGATGACATTTCTTGAGAAATCTTCCATTTAAATATATCCATTGGTATGAACTTATATTAGTATTTTGTTTACTAATAAATCCTATTGCCTTATATTGATGTTTTTCAATCTGTAATTCTTGGAGATCTATTTTATCTATTTCAAATACTGAATATAGAGTTTGATATACATCTCTGTTTTTATGTACTTTAAATAAGATTTCATTTTTAGAGTCATCACGGAGACTTATTGAAACATTTGTATTTACTAGTGACAGTTGTTGTAGAAGTAATTTAATATTTTGCAATTCTTTCAATGGATTTGTAGCTCTTTTCTGAATATGCAAATTGTAGAGAAACCCTTTAATTTCTACCTGAAATAAGAAACATAAAAAAAAATTTACTCATGTTTAAACAAGATAACACAACAAATTAATAATTAAACTAATTAAAAAAAATTAAATTAATTCATTTAACATGTTATGAGGAGGGATGAATCGCATGTTACAAGGAGAATGTTAGTTATGAGTGTGGAAGGGTACATCGGTAGAGGTAGACCTAGAGAGAGATGGATGGATTGTGTAAAAGGTGACATGGTCAAAAAGGGAGTGATGACTGAGATGACGTATGATAGAGTTATGTGGAGGACAAAAACCTGTTGCGCCGACCCTACGGGAGTAGGATAAGGAGATGATGATGATGATGATGCCGTTTAAACAAGATATAATTTTTGTTAAATTACTGTTACTGACGTGCGAAGGACGCAAAGGCATTTGCAGAATATCAGCGTTTACTACCCCCAGGGGTAGTAAACACATAGCTGAGCAAAGGCCCTATCTGTTCTGCATTGCAACACTTACAGAGTTTCAGCCCTCATTTCGTTTCTTTACCTATTTTTTTAAACGTCATATACTTGTTTTTTGCATGTTTTTACTTTTAGTTATAATTGGTATAATTTTAATTTTAAATTTGTTATTTTCTGTGTGTTGTGATTTTTGTAAGTGCTGTAGTGTTCTGAATAGATTAAATGATTATTATTATTATTTTCTTCATATCTTTATTCTCTTATTTTTATATATAATACATTTCACATGATTTTCTTAAAAAAATAACAAAATAAAACATATTATATAAAAAAATAGTAAGTCCACCGGCTGCGGAATCCGATGACTCAAGCAACCAGTGGTCAGGGCTGCAGAGACAGGAACCTCCTCACTAGTCGTGCGGTTTCTAAAATAACCGCCTTTTGAATCGGGCCCTTAATCCAACTGTCTAGCGAGAGCTTCTTGAGGTGTAAGTCGAAGCTCTTCGCTATCAGCCCGTGTGCCGAAACGACTATCGGAATAATGGTAGTCGATTTCATACGCCACATGGCGGTAATCTCGTGAGCCAAATCCAAATATTTTAATAGCTTTTCATTTTCGGCTTTCACGAGATTCTCGTCATGTGGGATAGTGACATCGACTAACATTACACAACTCTCAGACCGATCTATTATTACTATATCAGGTCTATTGGCAGCAATAGTCCTGTCCGTAATAATAGATCGGTCCCAGTAGATCGTGATACGGCTATTTTCCAGAACTGGTGTAGGCTGATATTGGTAATATGGTACCTCAGATTCCACAAGAGCATATTTAAGGGCAAGTTGCTGATGGATATTATTATTATTATTATTATTATTATTATTATTATATACTTACTGTTGTTCCTTTTGAAGGTCTCATTGAAGTTACTTGACTATTTTTGTGGTGTCCTTTATAAAAGATTTTAACCCATGTTTCATCCCTATCTTTATGCCTGGTTGTTATTTTAACACTCTCCGATACTTCAATAATGTTCGATAAAGATTCGCCTCGGAATCCAAATTTAACAGGAGCACTTTTAAATGACGATTTGTCGGTAATTTTGCTACTGGCGTACCTCTCTCCCAAGAGGGGAATATCGCACTTCGCAATTCCAAAACCATTATCAATGACTTGTATGACACTCTCATAGATATGAATTCTCACGGCAACCGAAGTAGCATCGGCGTCTAGTGAATTATAGACCTGAAATTAAGATATTAATAAAAGGATAAAATCGTTTGCAATACCTGGATATACTAGTAATTACCAATTCTTCGACAGCATTTTTGTAGTTATTAATTTTAGAAGAACCATTTAAAAGAGATTGTATTTCAGTTGGCAGCTTTTTTATAATCATAACGATATAACTATATTTCATCAATTATGTTTCATGAATGTTGTTTTCAGTTGTTTTATTCATAAACAAAATGCTAAACAAAAGGTGTGTATTACCTTGTCATTATTATGTCTTCTCAATCGAATTATGAATTTATTTTATACAAATCTTCATTTGTTTATTTTAAAATTAAAAAAGCCATCGGTTTTGGGTTTTCTTTTGGCGCTTTTCGTTTTTTTTCACATTTTTATTTTTAAATTACGAACCAAAGAGTACAAGAATTTAGGACATCATAGATTAAGCAACAATTTTCGTTGAAAAACTTTTTTGCAAAATCAAGTTTTCAAGCAAGATATTATATTAAACTAAGGATATAATAATAGGGACTAATTTTTAATATTTTTATTTTGTATAATAAATTTCAACATTTCACTAAATTTAAAGTTGGGTACTGACCAATGTTACAAGGTGTAACATCTGGACATTCCGGCCGGTTATCGCCAGTTTCTCCGTTACAATACGTACTGTACGGAATTACACCGTGTAATAAAATGAGAGTATACAATAGTTACAGTAGTACAATAGTTGAATGCAGGATATTAATCTACAACCATATTTCTTATTCCTTTTTAGCCATTTTTGTGGTTTTAAAATATTCTATATGTGTCAGAACCGTGTGCAAACTTCTTATGCTAGTAATCTCGGAAAATTATCTTTTAATCATATGACAGGACGATGATGCACACACATTTCTTCGGATACCGGAAGATAACAACACGTCAAAACAGATTAGAATGATATCATTTCTTTAGCTGCATCTTAACCTTAGTCTAACGTTTCCTTTAATCATAATAATTTGCATTACGAAACTAAGTATCCAGTCATTAAAAGGGTCGCAGTATACAAACTGTACACACTATGCACATAGTTTTTTATTTGGCATTTAACGGCAAAATTGTTGCCGGGACCATTTTTACTTATCAAGTTCACTATTTATTTTTAACGAACGTTTAAAAAAATATGAATTGGGCCTAAGGGCTTGACTTGTTATGGCCTCTACAAAAGCGCATGTATGAACTTTTTTTTAAATAATATAACACACACAGTTACCTTCACCTTCATAATCTATTTTGTACTGATATCGATTGAATTCAACCCTGAATATTTTAGTATATAACATAGATATGTAGTCATTTGTGGAGGACAAGGGTTGAAGTAGCGGCCACCAGTTCCCATCGTAGCACAATAATATCAAATCGTGTTGATGTCGCGCGATAATTTCAATTTGAAATGAATATATTTAATGCAAGAAATTAGGGTTGCCAACTGAAAATTTTGTTGACAAACATTTGTAAAACACAGTTCCAATTATTGTTATTATGAATGTAAGTTTTGAAGAGGAAATTAAAATATTTTGGGAGTATATTAAGCGGTGAGTACACGTCATAATAATTAAATTATTCTATCTACAAATTTAATACAGTTGCGGTCAAAACATTAAATACTTAAAGCTAAGTAATATTAAAAAAAAAAAACCTATAGAACAGCGGAATTGTGTACGGGGGGCTGACGATTAGTAAAATGTATTAATCATAATTAAATGTACATGAATAGAATATGATGTGAACTAATATGTCATCCAATTTGTAAGTTAATGATCAATGGATGACTGTTTTAAGAAATATCTGAGACTAGTAATAGCGATGAGTTGGCCGATAAGATGTTTTGAATTTTTATTGTTTTTCTTAGAATTAAACAACAAAATATCTGACTGATAAAAACGTTTCGCCCATTTTATGACTAATGGGTACAATTGCTAAGAACTGTTAACGACAGAGCTCTTCTAGTTTCATTTATTTCCGACTATCAGTTACCGTGCGGCTTCATCCGCATGAAATTATATATACTTTATTTTATTGTTTACATTTGTGTAATGTCAAAATTCAAATGCATAAATGACAACATTGGTACCTTGATGTCGGCAGCTTATGGTTATGGTTTCTTTCCCAGATTAGGGTTTTTATCCAATTTTTTACTCCATAACTTTAATATCGTGAAAATACACGCCTAAAGCGTGACGTAAGTGTAGGGCTTTTTTTTTTTAAAAAAAAAAGGATTATTCAAAAATATGCTGTAATTGCTGGCATCTTAGGCAACAAAGTTTACGCTTTATTATATTACTATAGATATCCATCCATCCATCGATAGCAGTATAGATTAATATGGAGTGATTTAGATCTGTGATGTAGTAGAAATAAATGTCATTTAAAGAAATATAAGAGAGTACAGTCCTTTACGCTATCAAACGCTTATGAGCAAGCAATTATTGTGAGTCAGCACTATACTTATCAACACAAACTGCAATCGCATGTCTAAAGAACCTTGCAACAATAGTGTAATTGTTATTTACATTTTGTTAACTAAATATTTTCTTCGACTACCTGAATAGTAATTTTGTATCTTTGAAGTTAAACAATGCAATAGATAAAGCATAAGGTTTCTTATTGAATTGTTTGGTATAAACAATATATATAAGTTTTAGAGGATATCAAGTTAATAATTTCGCTAAAATTGTTAGTATTAAGTAATTTTACATTATTTTATGTGTAGGTCTTAGTTGACTTTTGATTGAATATTTTTTTGATATGACATTATGTTATCCTTATTCTCTTTGAAGAAAAAGTGACAAAGATATACTTTTGTAGATATATTCCGATAGTTTTACAAAACATAGAAACAAACTGTAATAACAGTTAAAAAGAACTTTGTACATGACTTCTGTAATATTTAAAAACAGTATTGATTTTTTACTTTCTTGAAATATGTACCGTGAGAACTCGTAAAGCCGACATGTTTCAATTATTGATGACTTGTGTTATTGATTAATTTACATGTTGCTTATCCTTGGTGGGAATTCAAGGACTTACTGACCAATTAACGACTGAATGCAGTAGTTACGAGTTTACGAGTCTCGGTTGTCTCAGCCTTTTCAAGCAGAGTGAAAGGGAGCAAACCATTAAAGTAAAGCTATTAAAAATATGATGACCAATGCATGTATTTTTTTTAAAATTATGTTTGTTTAAAGTTCATCGATTCAAGGAAGTAATCATAACAAAGTAAACAGCATTTTAATTCGATATTGACCTGTTTGAATACATTGAATATTGAATTTTAACAATGACTGACAAATGTATTGAAAACTTTTTGTAACTCGGCTTTTTAAATAATTGAAACATTTCTTTCTATCGGAAAATAATTTGATGTTTTTCAGTATAACTAATAAAATGCATAAAGTCTTAATTCATGCGTTCGTTTTAAATTGTGTTATGAAATTTAAAAAAGAAGCTTAAGCGATCTTTTGTTATGTATCATTTTTCCCGCCGTAACATTCCAAAGTTTTGACGAACCTTTTATCTATTATACGGTTATCGTTAACTATTGCCAAAACAATGTGCCGAAGATAACCTGAGTATCCCGAAGATACAAGGGACCGAGTTATAAATAGAAAAGGAACAATTCAAAAGTTACATTACCTATTCTGAATTCAACGAGTGTACTTCGAAAGCACAGAAAGTAAGTTTTAACATTTAAAACAATTTATAACTAACAAAGCACTTTAATAATCTGTATTTTCTATTAATTTATTTTTGTTTTTAGATGTATACTTCAGGGATTTTGTTTTCAATACTCTACGCAACCTTAGCGGCAGAAATCCCAGCACCGAATATGTTGGAGAAACTATCGACATTTAAACCAACTGATATACCAATGCAAACACAACATTTCAACAAAGATATGCAGTACGAAAAAGAGCATCATCCTGTATACAGAGGGGAAGAGTTTAAGAACGAAGGCAGAGCGAGGATAGAGCCAGTGAGGTCTCAAGGACCGGTTGTGAAAAATGAGATGTTAGCTGATGATTCCGCTGTGGGATCTACTGACGTTAATAGAGTGGTAAGTTATATTGTTACCTAGCTTTTGAAAACTATTATCACAACAGTTGTCCGATAATTTAGTTACAGGTCCACGCACGCTCTAAGATTTTGTTGCTGTTATTTCGATAAAAATACTCTAATTACTATACAACCCTATATTACTTCGCTCTTAGTAGAAGAGATATTGAATAGTAGATTTTTAGTTAGATGCACTCCTTTTATACAAGTCGGTAATAGAAATTATCACAGTGCTATTTATTTCCAGGACAATTTACCTTTACCGGAATACGGCTACGGACATCCCCCGTCGGAAGTGGCCTATCCCGATATCCCGTATGCTCCCGGTTATGGTTACGGCAATGGGTTCGTATATCACAATTAACATTTCATTAGTTATGCTTACTTTATGTATTTAAAGTGCTTATGCAGAAAACATCACGTATTCTTTTACATTTGATAGTTCTTAGTATGTTATTTATGAGTGTGAAGATACACCGGTAGAGGTAGATCTAGAAAGGGATGGATTGCGTGAAAGGTGATATGACCAAGATGGGAGTGGTGACAGATGATGGGTGATAGAGTTATCTGGAGGACGAACACTCTGTGCGCCGACACTACGGGAATAGGATAAGGTATTGAACATTATATAAAAAACGTGAACATTTTTGTATTTATATTTCTATTTTTAATTTTTTCAGTTACGACGTGTACGGGAACAGCCTTAGCGATTACCTATTAGAGCCTGACACGTCCACCTTCGGTCTTCTTTGGAGCCAAGTGCCCGATTCTAGAGTAAGTCATTTAAAGTTTTGTATTACGATTCCTAACTGACAAGAAATTTATTTCACCAACGACTTCTAGTCATAGAGGCTTTTGTATTCTTTAGATATACATAATACTTGTTTGTAAAAAAATCATAACATCAACTGTTACTTTAACAATTTCAGACAATCGTCCACTTGATGGGAAGAACTATTGGTTGGATATTAAATAGCGTCTTCGTTCTACTTATTGGTTCTCTTATAACCGTTGGAGTTTGTTCCTACACGAACCTTTGCACGATAAGCTTCCAAGGAGTTGGTCCTATACACGAGGAAATGAGATCCTTCATTACTCCAGAGCGTTTAGAAAAGATTAGTACAGCTGCTAACTTTGTGAAGACGGCGATAGACAAATACCAGAAGATACAGAAAGTTACAGACCAAGGTATAAGAAAACGTAGTGTACTGTAAATTTTAAATATCAAAATTTCAAATTATATTCTAAATAAATGATATATTCTAGTAATAAGGTGTTATTATTATTTTCTATTTACATCGATACGGCAGAATGTATCTACTGAATTTAGAAATTAAGAATACATTAAATAGTTTGTTTAAAAATATATCAAACCTCCGACGCTCTCTGACAGAATTGTAACTAACAAGTAAGTTCATTTCAGTGATTTATAGAGACTTATTAAATGAAACAATATCACAAAACGAGGGCAACGTACTATAACATAAATGTCCTCGAAGACATTCTGCAATTATATACTTGTTTATGCAGGATTGTTTACCTTTGATTAAGCCAAGTCTGATAACATTGTATTTAGTCTTTATATCTTTACTAGGTTTCGCACGCGACTTCGTCCGCGCGTTATGAAAAAAAAACAAGCTAGTAGCCTATGTGTTCTTCCAGACTATCCTCTATATCTATGTCAAATTTCATCGAAATCCCTTAAGCCGTTTAGGCTACAAACTCTAACATTCATCCATCGGTCCATCTAAACTTTCACATTTATAATGTTAGTAAGATTATTCTTAGTAACCATGAATGATATGATAACGATTTAAGGTCTAGCAGTATGATCAACTTTAAAATTGTATTCATGATTTATCTCACATTTCTTTCTGTGATGTGAATGAAAGATATCTTACTGATAAAATTGCGAAGATTTAGGTAAATGATTGTTTATATTCACGTTACTCCAAGGCTGAACGGATCAGGAAAATCGGAACAGAGATACATAACATGGAATAGCACGTAGGCTCGTCAAGTTAACTTTTTTGTAATTCCACGCGAAGTTGCAGAATAACTAGATGCGTCAATATAAAGATATGAATATAAAAATAATTCTGTTAGTTTGTTACTTCAAATGTTAAAAGCAGAACAGTAGTCGCATGTAAAATAATTTAATATCTTAATCTAGATCATAAATAATCAATTGATTATCTTCAAAATTTATCTGATATTCAATATACGTATTGTTTAAGCTCCTGGCGGAATCCTAAACGAGTAATTAATATTCTTTTATCCGTTCACGTAGATAAGGTAATCACTATTATTGTTGATTTGTATGCACTGATACGAGTATTTTAGTGGGAGTATTAGTATGTGCAATGTTACGGTTTTGATCTTTACGTGAATGTATTTATAAAACACCTTTTTATTAGTATTTGAACCTGTCCCACCACTAGCTGATAGAGGCACAGCTTAAAAATGACGTCACTGTCAGATAAGGTATCAAAATCGGATATTTCCATCACATATTTTACACATTGGATTGCTATCAGACAATTTACAATTTGGTGGGACAAGCCTTTAGTATCTCAACTTTTTAAGGAGTTCAATCACTATAATTTGTTATACTTTCTAAAATAAATTAAAGAATAAGGGCTTACAAAAATATTTGTTATTTAAAAATATGAATTTCATACTCAATGTGAAACGAATGCCGCCAATACCTTGTTTATATTTTTATAAGGGTTATAATAAAAGTATATCAGTATAATTTGTTTTATCAAATGTTAATGATCGCTGACACCTTATGCATGTCCGTTATCTTTATGTCGTATAAACAATATTGTTTTGTAAACACTATCTTGCTATGTATGTTATCAGTATAATGTAGTCAGTACCGATGTCAGGGTAGGTTGCGGTTGGGATATCACCCAGGGCGCTCTACCGAATTATGCTCCCACATACTCTCACAGGCCAGAAAGCGAAGGATGGATTGAAAGGTGACATGATCAAGAAGGGAGTGATGATTGAGATGGCGTTTGATAGTTATTTGGAGAACAAAAACTTGCTGCGCCGACCCTACGGGAGTAAGATAAGAGAAGGATGATGATACTCTTAAAGCGCAATTAGTGGTAAAAAGAGGAATGAATGTATTTGTTTTTATGTTCATATCTACAAAAATATTACATAATGCAAAATCATTTAGATAGATAATCAGAAAAGTTGGTATTTCCCCATTTCTGAACAGATGTAGAATTGCAAGGGGCCGTATTCAATAAGTTGTATTTGTATCCATTTATACGGATCCTTACTACGTAACCAACAAACTTCATTTTATGTAAAAATCGCTTGTAAATAACAGAGTTGTTTGTACAGGTGTAGGTTATAATTCGGTTAGTATTGTTAATAAAATTTTAGTTTAAAATTTCAGTGTATAACGGAATTAAATTATTAATATTTCATGTCCTTTATAATCCTATATTTAAACTAGACCTTGCAATGCAATTGTAATGTAAATTATTATTTTGGGTCACGAATTTGACCCCAGCCTCTGTATCTATTAACATTGTCTCGATTTGTTGTTTTCTCGCAAAAAGGAGGGCAAGGAAATAATTGTAAGATGCCACAATTTACATGCATTTAAAAATTCAATAAACACCAGGATTTACAAGATTAACAACGCCTTTTATTGATTTCAAGTCCCCTTACTTTAAAATAAAAAAATTGGTTAAATAGAGATCTTTCGAGGCTGCTTTTTCAATTTAATTCTTTGTCATGTCGATATAATTGAATATGATGACAATTATTCCATGTAAAATGAAAACAAGTCCTGTTTTAAAATCGTTACTAATATACCTACCATGTGGGTGACGCTAAATTAAATAAATGCGTCATTTAATGATTCACTAAAGCAGACGTTAAACCTCTGTACATATTGTAAAACTGTCGTGTTAGTCACATACACTTGCTTGAAAACATCTACATGTTTTTGAGTCTGTAGATGTTATTTTACTTTACTGTGAATTTAATGCTAGATTTATCTTGTTCTCGTTACGAATGTCAAACATCCGGTCACTAACATTGGTGGGCAATGTCGCCTTATCGTGTATTGTGATTATATTTATGTTTTAAACAAAGTCTCTTCGTGCCAGTTGCATTTTAGTTTGCAGTGCACGCGTTACATTTTTATCGGATGACGTCATTGTGTCATGGAACCGTTTTAATTATAAAGATTCGAGCGTTATCTTGTTTGTGTTTATAGCACTGAGTTGTGTGCCAGTGTTATATGGGATCGTGATAACTCACAACGCAAAAATGGGCAACACTAAAAGTAAGAAAGTTAAAATAACTCAAGAAGGACCGGTTGGTGCTGAGAATGAGAGCCGTGAACGTATAAATTCTATCAAAACAGATGTATTCGATGTGAATGCGAAGAAAAATGACGTTGATAAAGATATGGATCAAATGGAAGAGAAACAGCATGATAATGCGAGTAGTGCGTCTACAGTGGAAGTGTTAGACGATAAGTAAATCAAGTGGACAATAATAATGTAATTTTACGACAAATTTGCCATATTTCGGTTAAGTGTTAGCATTAAAGTGAAATTAATTTTTCAGCATTTAAATGTAAACAGTTAAAAGAATATTGTAAATCTATTTAGGCTAAAGTACAAATTTTGAACTTATACTTAATTCAAATTTTATGAATATTGATTTATCATTATATGGAGTAGGATTCTCGTATGTAAAACAATACAAATTGTCATTTTATATGTTTAAATCCTAAATAATTTGTTTTAAGTACAATTTTCTTCGTGCCAATTATTAGTAATTTCTAAGTTAAGAGATTTCTAGTATACATTTTTACTACTTTACATGTAATGGTTGTTTATTCAAGGCTACATATTGTTACCAGCCTGTGTAAAATTATGTATTACGGTTCAGTAATACCGGTCTTTATACAACTTAACACGATGTATAACATTATTTTATTTTGTATATAACATGAAAACACAATGTTCTAAAAACATGTGTTAAATTATAAACATTTTTTCCAAGTACGTGTTTTATTTTATCATCATCTTCACGGGGTCAGGCCACTATTTGACTGATTTATTAAATTATAAAAAAAATACAGACGAATTGAGTACCTCCTTCTTTTGGGAAGTCGGTCAAAAATTGGCGGTTTCCAGTTTAGAAAGAGCCATACTAAATATTAACACCAGTATATTTTGTATGCGTGACATAAATTATCAAATCTCTTCTCTAAAACAGTATAGACTAAAATAAAGAAAATAGAGAAACAAACATGAGAAGAACGAAATTCAATTTAAAAAAATAATTCTCTTAATTTAGAATTCACACTACACTTTAGTGGTAATTTCCTATTTAATTCCACTACTTGAATGGTCACTTTTATCTATTTTTTGCAAATCATCGTACATAATTTCCCTCATGGCTACCATGATCTCCGTCACCGTAACATTATAAGCACAATAGTCCATTATTATGTCAGGGTATAAATGTGTTTGCGGGCATTTGTTTCGTCATTTTGAGATCAGATATTTTAGCATAAAAGACTCAAATTTCTATTTTATTTTGTCTCACGAAGTGCAATTTAATAAACAGCAATAAAGACAGAATTGAAAACTATTTACATTGAAAATCCTAATTGATATTAGATGTAACTGAAAGTCGGAAAGTCCTTGACAGTTTAAAATGAAGTCTCTTTTAGTGCTCCTAGCTATACTTCTAGTTTTTAATATAAATGGGTAAGAATTTCTTTATAAAATTTAGGTGTGGCACTAAGAAAAACATTTAAAAAAGAAAAACGCCTGACAATCGAAAATAAATGAGCACGTTTTTTAACAATAAACAATGTCCGTAACTCTTCAATAGAAAGTTGTTAATGTGTAAAATCGTTCTAATTATTTCTTGAACTACACACACATTTGGAGCCCTGAATGTTCAATTTACCAACGTTTTAGCATAATTAGGAAGTCAACATTAAAAGAATTGTACAATGCTTTGTTTTACGACTTCACATCTAGTTTACGTTTTTGCATGTCCATGGATGAAAGCTTTGTAAGTAACGAATAAACTTAAGAACTATTTTACCGAATACATTAATTCTTTCACTGTCAGATAAAAGAACGAAATCCGATTTTTCCATTACATTTGGTGGGACAGGCCATTAATGACTTAAATATGAAAAATAAACATGAGCACACCGAAAAATTCAAGTTTGGTATATTTTTATGTTTTTAGAAGCGCTGCCGCTCGATCGAAACGCAGTAAGATGCCAAGTCAACCGATAAAAGTGTACTATTATCCAGTATCTCCTCCGTGCCGTTCTGTTCTTCTGACCGCAAGACTTTTAGGACTGAAAGTGGAATTAGTACTGATTAATATCATGGAAGGAGAACAAAAGTCGCCAGAATTTATAAAGGTTAGTTTGACGAATGGTGAACTACGATACCTACATTGCAATGTGTGGTGTTGGGATGAGATTTCTGTTTGTTCCATCACGATCCCTCAGTATAGAAGATGACAAAGGCTGTTGGATTAGTCAATCGTGTGCTGGAAATACTACTTCGTTTAGAGTTTCCTGTAAACGGGGACTCTGAGTTCGAAAGTTGGTATTCAAATAATTCAACAAAACCATCCCATGAAAAATTACTTTTCAAATGATTGTTGCAAGGTGGCCTGTTAGTGGCATTTTCTATTTATTAAATTAGATTTTTACGATAAAAATACAGATTTACAGTCTAACAGTAATGGCAGTTCAGATGAGTCTTAAGTTATGATAATATTTTCATGATGTGATGTGTAATAGAAAATATTTAACTCTCTATCAATAAATGTATTGATTTACTCGTAGATAATTACGTGAACTAGGATAAAATGCATAAGTCTAATGTTTATCTGCAAAGCAAATTATTCACTACAAAAGTTTAGTAATCATCAACATGCCATGCCATGCCATGTCTTTTAAACATATCATTGCTAAAAATTGATGATATAGCATGAGACCATTTAAATTTGATGTTGGTGTTATTGCTTACTGCAGATCTACTTTTTGACCAAATTCCTTTTGCCATAATAATGCTACTGAAGCTGTTTATTTAATGTTAAAAATTAAAATAAAACCCGCATTTTTGTTTTCAGATGAATCCTCAACATACAGTACCTACGATAGATGACAATGGTTTCATATTATGGGAAAGGTGATATTTTTTAACATTCCTTAATACACAAATGACACAAAGAATAATGAACATGAGAGAAACATAAATTCCTTTTAATAATGGGGAATACCACTAATAGACAGTCACACTCTCTGTTTGGAGACTGTATAGTCTATGCTATATTGATTTTACTTTCCAAACGGGCCACTAAGTAATTTTATTAATTAAAATGATTGGATACTAGCTATTCGCGACTTCGTCCCCTTAGAATAAAGAAAAAATAATAAAAATTATAGCCTATGTTACTCACTGATAAATTACCTTTCTAATGGTGATTTTTAAAAACGGCCCAGTAGTTATTACATGAATCGAATACATATAAAAAACCAAATCTTTCCTCTTTATAATATTAGTACAGATATAGATATATACTAACATAAAAGTTACTCTATAGTCGTGCGATAATGGCGTACTTGGTAAACGCATACGGGAAAGACGATGCCTTATACCCAAATGACCCTCAACAACGAGCTATAGTTGATCAACGTTTGTATTTCGACTTCAGTTTTTTGCAAAAGTCTCTGGAATTATATGTAAGTATTTGCTAAAACCTGAAGAATCTATTGTTACAATAAGGTAAGATGGAGACATTATAGCATGCCTCGATAGTATCTTTATTATTCCGTTTGTAAATCTAATCAAATATCTTTGATCTTGATGTTTATGTTATAAATTTGTTGCTATCGAAACAAACTGTTGATTGATTGATATTTTATGAAATTGTAGATATAGATTGCACTTTAAATGTAAATACCAATTCACAGTTTTTAAATTAATCGACTATTTGTACTTCAAACACACATATTTATTCAACTTTAAAATATAAGTGGGATGAAAAAATCATTTCTAGTTATTTTTTCCAGTGGCCTATGGTTAACGGAAAAGAATATAATGAAGAAAAAGGTGAGAAATTGAAAGAAGCAGTTGGCTGGTTGAATTCCATGCTGGAAGGTCGGCAATTCGTCGCCGGAGACAAACTTTCTATAGCAGATATTACCACAGTGGTTACTATGAGTAATTTGGACGTAAGTATTAAAGAAGGGGTACAGGTGATATGAATAACATAAATACATAAAAAATACAAGATCTCATGAAACTCATGAAATCTCTGAACGAAATAAGCCAAATGTTAATTGTTTTTTAAGAGATGTAACGTTTTTCAACACTTGGATCGAAATGGTAATAAGATTGAAGATCTTGTGATAAATTATTCACCTTTATTTAATTTACTATACAACAACAAACATGATTAATCATTCAAGCGCCTAGGACTAATTGTTTGATAATTTTGTATGCTAAATAATTGCTATTATATTTTTTTAGTATTGATAAATATTCAATCATAATGATAATTAACCAGTGTTGTTTATTACTATACATGTTTAAACATCGTATATTTGTAATCATAGTTAAATAGTAAATGAAGATATCAATGACTCACTGAATCATCTAACACTTTCGAATGTTGTACAGTTGAAAGTTTACGATGTGTTTAACATCTCGTAACGAATCTTCGCAAATCTCACAGACACAGACGGAGCAGCAAAGAGAAATTTACTAAATCACTTTTAGACACGTATGAACAGAGTTAACATATGATCCGTCTAAGCCAAAACATAGCCGTAGTTAACTTTCTTATAAATTGAATTTAACTATTGTTTTGTTAGAAAAATTCCACAATAAGTTATTTTTCGAATACAGTAGCAAAGGTCATAAAACATATAGATAAATAACTACATGTATTGCTAAGTCAATGTTAATTAACAGATTTCCATTATTGCATACTATAATAAAAAAGAATAATAGAACCATTTAGTGATCTACAAATGGCCAGTAATCCAAAAAATGTTTTAAATTTAAGATTTGTTATTGGATAATACTTAATTATTTTTTCAGAGTTTTGGCTTCGACTACAGTTCTTACGGTAACATTAAACCCTGGTTTGAAAGAACAGTAAAAGAGTTGGAACCCTACGGATATGTTGAAATCAACAAAAGTTACGCAGACAAACTGGCATCTATGATAAAGAAAGAATAAACTGCATACACGCTTATAACACAATTTCACATGCCTTGTAGATTGCATTAGTAATAAAAGCTTATTGTTACTCTTATCAATGACCTATTAAAGTTCTTTAGGTTTAACGATAGCGTTTCATTTCCTTATGAATTCTCTTTGGAATTTCTGGGCATAATTATTTAAGATTCATGAATTGTTAAAGCAAAAATTTATGTATGTTCTAGTAATAAAAAAAAAGTTTCATCGTCAGATTTCACTGGTTTATATCTTTTAATTTAATTGAACTTTTATATCTTGTGGCATTTGTGTCCTGAAAAATATATTAAAAAAGGTTAAATATAAAGGAGGTGACCCTCTGTAATTTAATAATTAATTTGTGGGTGTGTGTTGCTAACGTGGTAGGATTAGCACCACTACTTACACAAATTGCTCACTCATTTACAGAGATTTTCCAATATCTTCGCATCGAGTAAGATGCTCTTATTTATGAGGTAGACTGTAGTATACAAATTAGCGTATCACTCGCGTATAGGAGGGAACAAAGGGTAGTAATAAACATTGTACGGTATCCGTTCGCACGAGAACGTCCTGTCGCGTTGTATCTGAAACATTTAAAGACACAATGCTACGCCGCGCCGCTCGCCGCGGGTCGGCCATACGTCCCACGTTTTCAAAACATCTCGCCCGTACGATTGTTCCGATTTGAAAAAATCCATCACAAAACGATTAAACAGTGCCTCGATTTCACAAACAATCGACCGTTAGTGCTCAAAGTCTTTCATGTATCAACGCTTGCGGAAGCAACACGTACTTACGATGTTATTTAGATGTGATATTACCAGTGTTGCGTAATTATATGGACTGTTATCAATCATGTATCTCACGGTGAGTATTTGTATGTGAAATTATTTAGATACATCGATATAGTGAAAAGAAAATTGAAGTGTCGTATTCAATTGAAACCGCTACCGCGAACGATTGAACGGAATGACTTTTTCGGAAACAATACGCGTGTGGTATCGTGTAAAGGTATTTTTATTTGCCCTGATAACATTAAAACGACGAATGTTTTTTCCATTCATTTATTTTTGTTTTTTTGTCTGTGCTTGTACATGTCAAAATTTAAATTAATATTAGGCATACCTTACTTAATTTTACTTACATGATTGTAAAAAAAAATTGAAAACACAAATAAACATAATATTACCTACCGTGAAAGGTAGTTTCGAAGTTGTAACCAATACAATGCAACCTTTTGTGTGCATAGATATGGAAGGAACGAGAGAAAAGCCAAATAAACCCGTAATCTCTTCTAATTCGCTTATTCTCCTTCTTACCGTGGTCGTTAAAAAAAGTAATTAGTTTAAACTCTATTAAATCTTTGCTAACCGCAGAATGAGTCAGGCGCAGCCCGCCGTGGTCAGGATGCGATCATTATTTAATAAGTACCTTTGTCCCAGCTTACATTGTCATGATACTAGACTAGTTGTTATATTAGCAGCTGTCGTGTTTCTAGTCACGTACTAAATGTACTAAGGTATCTTGTACCTGTAATAGTGAAGTGAAAACTTCATAGATTTCATCCAATATTGTACACATACTAGTGTACCATTTGGTTTTGTTGAAATTTATGTGGAACAGTCACTCATAAGTTAGACTGGTAAAAATAATTTCAACTCAATGCAACTGATTTCAAAGTTCGTTTTACATTACAAGTAAAAAATTAAGACTTTGTATTAAAATGTCATAAAAAGCTCTACAACTATCAATAATTTACTTGTTTTTAGCAAATTACATGTATAATTGTTACAATGTCGATATCATTTGCCGTGCAATACCCAACAAATCCTACATCAGAGATGTCGGCGGATGAAAAGAATTTGATAAAAGTTAACAAAACATTGGAACAATCTGATGAAAGTGGCCATGAAGTAGACACAGATGGGGAAGAAGTTAAAGACAAGAAATATCTAGTAGATGCTATGAGAACAATTCTAGATCCAAATGCCGTTATCCAGAAAAATGAGGAAGAAGATAATTTTAAATTTCAAATCGATGAATTAGACAAGGAGAATATGACGCTCGATAATTTTATGGAGGAAATGGATAAATTGAGCCTTGACGTTTGTAAAACGTCACAGGAAGCGTTATGGTCATATGTTACAGATATTACTAATGAAAGTAAAAAGAATAAAATGGTAAGTAACTTATTATTATTATTCTTATTTTGGGTGACACACTAGCAGCTAGTTAGCTGATGATTAACTGATTTTAAAAAAGGTTCACAGATTTATTACTAGCAATAACATGTATGCTTTTAAGTAATATTATCATGACTATATAAGTATATATAATGTATATATTGTAACATTTCCATTAGATATTAATAGCCGCAGAAGAAGACGAAATAAAGAAACAATATTGGAACATGCTGAAAAAGAAATATTTGAACGATTGGCAATTACTGAACGACCCGAAATTGAAGAGGAAGCTTCGAATTATCAAAGAGAGGGGGACCAACGTGCAAATGCCGCAAAGCAAAGTACGAATGAATTGTGATTGTATGCAGTCGGTAAATATTATGACGAAACATTTCATTGAATCTTTATGATTTGCTTACTTTTGCAGCAAAGAGAGGAAATAGACACAATGCAACGGATTTGGAGTCGAGTAACAGTATGTGCTTATAACGCAACTAATTGTAATGTAGACGAATCAATACGTTCTATGAGTGGTAGGTTATCGTTTTCACTGTTTTTTAAAAATAACTGTATATTATTTCTATTACTACTACTGTGATTATATTGTATTCACTTTATTTTTTGTCTTTTAAAATGCTTGTACAATTTGCAGATGTTATTGCGGTCTTCAAAAGAAATAATGACACGAAAGAATTATTGTACTATTGGAAAGCCTTCAGAGATGGCACTGGAAAACAAATACGTCCAACTTTTAATGATTATGTTACAAGAATGAATAATGTAGCGCAATCAGAAAACTTCACTGATGCTGGCGATATGTGGAGATATACATTCGAAGATGACCATTTTGAAGAAACGGTTAATAGACTTTGGTCAGAAATTAAACCTTTATACAAATTATTACATACTTATGTGAGGATAAAATTGAAGAAGTATTTCAAATCTGAACTCTCTAAAAAGGAAAAGACGATACCTGCACATGTACTAGGTAAGGATATGTCATTAAGACCTAAATGATTAATTTATAAATGTTTTATTCCTTAAGTAAATAAATAGCCTTATTTAATACCTAAGGAATGCTATACAATACACTCATTCTGCTGTTTACACATTGTATCTATGAGTACAAGTATAAACATAAATATTTTGCTGAAATCCTAGGCGATAATGATGACCTAAAGTTTTTAAGAGATACGCGACCTGACCCATTGTCTAGCGATCATAATGTTTGAACTAGTAATATCAATATTTACTCTTTTTATCTATACTATACAGAAGTTGCAAACTTCTCCTTGACTAAAACTCTAACGTCATAGCTTTAAAAATCTTCGTTACTGTTTATTAGTTTTAAAACTTAGGAAAATTAAGAAAAGTTAGCGCCTGGTGGAAATTTTCAGCAAATTTGTTAAATTAAAAATACTATTTTTTCATTCCAGGCAACTTATGGGCGCAAGAATGGCAAGCGGTGTACAATAAAGTTGCAATCTACCCTGATATTCCAAGACCGACGGCAATAAACAGTAAAATTCTGCAAGCAAAGGATCTTTTTGATGCAGTCGACAGGTTCCATCAGTCCCTTGGTTTTGATAGCGCCCGACAAGCGTATCAAGATATACGAGAAACTGCAACTTCAGCTAACTGTCTACCTTCAAGCCACGACATGTGCGATGGAGTAAATTACAAGTAAATGAGTATTTTATATGTCTTAAATCGTTGTAGATACTTTTAAAGAGAAAAGAAATAAGCTTTCACTTATTAACATTATTAAATACTTTCGATAAAATGCTAATTAATGGTTTTACTCTCATCAAAGACATTAAGGAAACATTTTTATGGTTTCCTATTTGAGGTCAATAGATTCGCGAACTGAATTAAACAGACGCTTGTAAATCTAATTAGGCCAAATGACTGATAAGGAAAATCGCATGACCCTAACAGTTAATCACCAACTACTATACAAATTTGGTCATTATTAAAATAAACGTATTTATTCAGGGTTTATTTCGAACACGTTTTGTACAAGGAGGTTGGAACAATTGCATATTCACTTTTTAATATCCCAGAAGTATTTGCTATAAGGGATGATACCTTTATAGTAATCGCTTAACAGCTTGGACATTTCTGAAAATGAACTATCGCATAACTGTTTTGTCGCACTTTGATTACTATGAGCTTATATGGAGGTGTGGACACAACTCAATTTTTAGTTGAACAATTGAATTGGCTGCGAAACAATCGACAATCGCACAAATGTTGTTCGATAGTTTCGTCAAAAGTGTGTGCTTGCTCTTAATCTAGTTTGTTGTCAGGATAAAATGGTGTGGTGAGAACCTCACGGACGTGAGCGTGGGTCTGTCGCGTGCGGCGAGGTTGCTGGGCCACGTTCAGTACTTCAAACATTACCGTCAGTTGCAGCCACTTTATAGAGATGGACCTAACCCAGGTATATTGCCTTTCAAATTTTATACTGATATTGTACGAAAAAAAGAAAACATTGCTCTGGAGAATACAAAAGCTGAACAGAACCTAGAGATATAGAAGTACTCCCTAACGTGTGGTTTTCTAGTAATTGTAACAAGGGTAGTTGTATTTCGTATTCCTGGTATTTTTTTTACTAATAACAGGAGGAAGTATCAGACTTCTTATTTAACCGATGACGTAATGAAATAAAAACTATAGTATCGACCTTGATTGAGATAAGGAATCATTTGCATTTCCTTGTTAACTGAAGATGTATAAATGAAAGGGAATGGATAACTTATGTTTACGGATGTCTTTGATATTTGAATTTTAAAACATCGTGCATTTATGATCACGGAGCATTATTTATGATTTTCCTCTTTGTCATTTATGTAATTTATTTATATTTTTAAAACATCCAATGTCGCGAATGTGATGATCATCAAAAAAATGTGGGATTTTAAGACTTTTGTCTTTTTTTCCGGGAATTCAGTTATAAAGAACTCAACGTGTAAAGTTGCAAATGCTTGAATCACAAATAAACATCGCAGAAACAATCTTTGTTACATAATCTTACCCATTGTATTAATTACATTTTTTAATTGCAAATTCGCGCGGTTAACGGTCGGTTAACTTACAGCGTTCCATGACGCGATCTCGGACATCGTGGCTGTGCAACTGACGTCACCAGCTCACCTGCACACCTTAAACCTGGCGCAGGTCACCACAGGGCCTCATGCTGAACTCAACCATCTACTCTGGCTGGCTCTAGAGAAACTACCCTTAGTCGCATATGCGTACGTCCTTGATAGATGGCGCTGGGACATATTCGCGAATTCAAGTCTTAAGAACTGGAATCAGCATTGGTGGGACCTCAGGTATTTTAGATTTGTTTTACGCGAACACATTTTACTTGAATAGAAAAAATTAAATTGAATTGACAGTAAGTCTTGTTCTTCGGTCATTAAAGGATAACAAGTCGGTAAATGTCAATTTGCTTCCGTGTTTCTGATTCTTAGTATGCATTTAAAAAACTGCAAGATGTATTTATAAATCACATGGAATATTTACTGGATAGTAACAGTTTACTTAGCGACAACTGTAGTTAACAGTATCGTACAGGGCCGGCTTTACTAACGGTTTGGGTAAGATTTCTCAGCGCAATCGTCATTTAACTAACCGGAGGACTAGCAGGAACATTTGCGAGATATTTGTAACGCCATTGATATAGTTAGTATTATATTTCTGCAGCGCCCCCATCGAGGGTACAATACAAAGTTACATTACGATAAAGTATCGCAAAATTTCGTGATATACCCCTAGAGCACGCGCTCACCTATAACTAAATTATCGTAGAACTGTTCCGTCTCGCTTTGATTCCTATGGTCCTATGTGTAGGTGCACACACTACTCTATGTTTAATTGAACAACTTAATAGTTAAATTGACTGCAAAACAATCGACAATCGCACAATAATTGTGCGAAAGTTTAGTCAAAAGTGTGCGCCAGCTCTTAGTATACGTAACGAACAAAGCAATTGAAAGGAGAATGTATATATTGATTTTGCAATGACAGTTAACTTTATGTTGTAACTAACGGATTATATAAAATTGTCTGGGACATAATTACTGGGTTTTTCAACGATTTCTTTGAAACATCTGTTGTACAGATTGTATGGAGTCACGCAATTATATTGTATTTTTGTAAATATGAGACAGTCATCATAAAAGTATGATAAATGTAGATTCAAATATTACAGGTGATGTGTACACTCAGATTATCTTTCACTTTACATGACTTCACTGTTTGGTATAAAAATAAAAGTGAATATTTCAAATAGTTCTTGGAATACTCTACTATCTGGGTGAAGACAATTTATGAACAAGTTTGTTATCTATCTTACTCAGCTACCGAGCTTAGTGAAAGAAAACTTGATATCATCATTAAAGTTATCTTACCAGTATAAATTCGAAAGTTTGTATGGATGGATGTTTGTTACTAAGGATTTCCAAAACAGCGTGATGGATCTCGATAAACATGTAGACCATAGTCGGGAAGAATACATAGGCTACCTACCTTCTTTAAGGTCAAAGTCGCGGGGAAAAGCTACACTTAATAACGTTCTACACATTTGTAAGGAAATTGCTTTAATATGTCTAAATGGATAATGGTAGTTATACTTAAAAATAATTTGAATATGATTTTTGGTCGAATCACAACTAATAAGCGGTCACAAGTGAACGGAGAAAGACCTAAATATCAACAAAACAGCGAGTAAATAATACATTACAAGGACAAAATCTTAATAAAAGAAAAAATGTAGTTATCGTTTTATCAAACGAGAACAAGCTATTTTTATAATATTTAATAAAACCTCTATAAAAATTAAAAGCTTTTTTATGAATATATATTATCTTTTGTTTTAAACGTATGCAAGTTTGTCTTAACATTGCAAAACATATGCCAAGCGTAACTAAGTTACGAAAGCGTAGTTGTTAAGTAATAAATAGTCCCGTTGCGGTGATTAGCAGTTTTCAAGATGAATGTCATAAAAGATAGATTATTTTTGCAAAAAAATCTTTTTAATTAGTAAACAAGTTGTAGTAGCTAAACAAATGTTAAAGTAATGCATAAACCACCATCCGTATGTAAAAATAATTACAATACATTACTTCTTACTTCGGCCAAACACATCTGTATAAATACAAACGTATAAATCAATACGAAAGGTAAAGGCTGCACAGTTTTCGATGAAATTTAGCATAGAAGTAGAAGATGACTGGAAGTCTGAAAAAACATAGGCTACTCACTTTTATATTTTTTTACTTCACGCGGACGGAGTCGCGGGCGAAAGCTAGTTGTACATAAATATTTACTCCATCTCTGAGAGAATCAATATCTACAAGTGATCTAAGCTCCATTGACAACAATAAATGTCAATGACCTCTTAACTTTTTAAATGTTATTGCAGAGTTAACGAGACGGGGATATCACCACCTGTGCCGAGGAATGAGAGCGACCTGGATCCCGCTGCGAAGTATCATGTTGTTTCCCATGTTCAATATATTACGTAAGAAACATTCAGTAAATGCTAATATGTTTAGTAAATGCTGAAATGTTTTTCAATATAATCTGATTTAGGATTTTGATAATAAAATCGTAAGTTCAGTGATTTATAAATTACAGATCCTCGGATAGTGGCTAAGGAATGACAATTTTGTTTTTTATTTACTAAGACCCATTGAGTATTTTTTAAAATTCAGATTACCATAACCTTTTAAAAAAGGAATTTTACTATGTTCCTTGAGAAAATCAACGACGTCATAAATTAAAGAAACTGTGTTCTACATTATTCGTATATTTATTTCATAGATATCTCGTATCACACGTGTTGGAGTTCCAAATCCTGTCATCACTGTGCAAGAAGGCGAACCACACCGGACCTCTACATAACTGTTCCTTACGCGACGTAAAGGAAGCAGGAAAACTCCTCAGGTATCCTTGCTCACTAATTATTATTCAATTCCACATACGTTTGGGTTGTTAACCGTTGATGTGAAGGCTAGAACATACGAGCACCTTTGTTTTAAATCCATGCTAAAATATACAGGATGTTTTGCCAAAAAGCAACATTAATCTCAAATCCTAACTTATTTGTACTCATTAAGATGAACGACAATTTATGTAATAAAGTTGTGTTTTTTAATTTTCTTTTGGTCAATAAATTGTGTTTTATTTTTTTATTTTATTTATTTAATGGAATCTTTGTATTAGATAACTTTTATGTATTTTTTAATCTATACCATCTAAAGAGGAAACATTTCTATTTTTGTATGTATTTTGTATGTATTTTTGTATGTATAATTACTCAAAAGCTACTGGGGCGATTTCAAATATTCTTTCACCAATGAAAGCTACACTTATAATGTTCGTAAGATACGGGTTTCTTACCACGATTGGATTGTTTTAGCTCCCGATTAGCGTTGTGCCGGTATGTGCCGAAATATAGAGCTAAAACAATCAAATCGTGGTAAGAAACCTGTATCTTACGAACATTATATTTGTAAAAACCACGACAGTTAAAAGTTATATAAAAGCGGTTAATAAGATAGGCTACATTTATTACTATTTTTAATTTTTACAGTGACACAATCGCAAGCAATAGCTAGTGTTTAAAATAATGTTGTTTGTTTTTCAGCAATGGGATGTCGTTAGGAGCTGGCGTAGATTGGAGGACTGTATTAGAAGCTATAACTGGTGAAACAGACCTATCTACTGCCGGTTTGTTACAATATTTCGCTCCACTCAGCCAATATCTGCGCAAAGAAAATGAAAAACTTGCAAACCTTACTGAAGATATGGACAAGAATCCGCCCATAATTATAGGTGCTATAATCATATTTGTGATATTGACAATGATAATAGCTTATTGTGTTAAAAAGAAGGATGCTTATAGAAAAGTTCTCTCATGGTGTGGACTTACTAAGAATGGTTCGTTAGATATAGTTACCAACGAAATGACCCAAACTAAATCTAAAGAAGAGGAAGGAGTGAATGAGGACAATGTTTGAAGTTTAAATATTTATATGTTAAATATTATGAAAATAAAATAGTGATTATAGTAAATGTGAAAATGTGCCACTATGTCGATTAACTGTTAGTATTAAGTGTTATTTATGTGTGGATTTTATCAATATTATTAAGTTATTTGAAATAATATAATGTAATAAATAATTTATTTGTTTAATATATTAGTTTCAGTTGTTGTTTTATTTTTTATTGAACTAGAAAGCGAGTCATATGACTGCATAATTCATTGCCAAAGTTAGATTAAACCTTAATTATGTATGTTGCATTCACATTTAGGCGTCTAGACATCGAGAAATAATATCTCGAATGAATTACTAAAATTAATTTATTGGTAGAGAATTTTAAACTTAGGAATCTTTTACGTTAGCATGTTATAAAAATTAAAGCTATTTTTTTTCCATTACATGTACACCCTGTGAAACAACTTTGTTTTATTAAATTGTTAGTATTTATAATTGCACTAAGTAAATCCAATATAGTTATTTATTCAATATAGTTCAATGTTCTACTAGCGTACTAATTGCGTTGGATCGAAGGAAGGTTATAGTGTCAGTGACACACGACATTAAATACGAAAAAACGGAGACCTGTACCTTTTTAAACAAAGCTAATCATTTGTTTAATGTACTAGATTTATTTTAGAGGTAACTACTACTATTTTAGTCACTGTTTATTTATTTTATTTAAAACTTTCGCTAATACAATAGGAAGCTAAAACTAAGTTGCTTGCATTTTGCTTACGATGCATCTTTCGACCATTGATTACTAGTTAAATTTTAGTAGAATATTATAGAAAACTCTCTGGGTAGTTCCCTAAAAAGAACGTTGCTTGCGTTTTAACGTTCTAAATTATTATCGATGGCTATTACTTAAAATGAATGAAGTATTTCTTTGACGAAGGACCGAATTGATTTGAAATAATTATCAGACATATAATCGTAATAACATATAATCTACAAGTAATAGGTCTAATTCGCGTAACTGAAGCCTTCTTGTAACGAGTACAAAAGTGAACGTGAGTTCAAGTCTGATGTAGGGCATGACATGTGTTGTCATTGACATATCGCCACGAAACTAAAATAATATTTTAACACGCAATAATCTCAGTTCACGAAAAAAGGAATTTCAAGAAAATTAAAAAAACAATGACTTTGGTCTTCCAAAAAACTTTTTTTACAATAAATAATCTTACTAATATTATAAATGCGAAAGTTTAGATGGATGGATGGACGGATGGATGGATGTTTGTAGCCTAAACGGCTGGAAGGATTTCGATGAAATTTGTCATAGATGTAGAGGATAGTCTGGAAGAACACATAGGCTACTTGAACTTGTAATTTCGAATGAGGAAAAAGGTGCAGAACGAGCAATGTTTAATCTTATTTGAATAAATGTCCTCATAGATTGTAACATTACTAATAAAAAAAAATACAAACTGTAATCTTTGATATTGAAGCACGTATTTACAATAACATACTCAACAATGTATCACGACGTGATGACTTGGTTATCCAGAGTAAGTATACATAAAAATCTCCATCCATACCTATATTATGAAGTAGACGAACTTCGTGACAATTTTAATAACTGCAAAATACTAGTGTGTGCATTTGACAGCCTTTTTTAGAACTAGCTCAATCATAGACAGACAACATATCATTTTTAGATACTACTAATCGCCCACCAACCGCATGAAACTTTCGTAACCGACTGATTAAAATCTTATTAAAGACTCGCTCTTAATTACCTACATCAGCATTAAGTATTTAGCTATAGCTATCGATGCAAATGTACTAAGAATGTAGAGATATAAATCAAGATAATTATACTTTACTTTGAAAATAGTTACAATAAATAAAGCAATAAAGCAATGTAAATAAAAAAAATAACTTATACATTAACAATTAAATTTCGATTTGGCACCCTTCTAAATATTCCATAAACAATCCTAAACAGAAACAAAAAATTAAATCAAGGTTGAAAATATCTAACTATGTGCACGTTATTTTATTTTTTGTAAACAAAATTAATTTGCGATACATTTAGATAACAAGATCAAAATATAAAAAATGTGTTTTGTGTTATGCAAAACATTGAAACAGACTTGTATTTAATATTCGCTTTCGCCCGCGACTCCATCCGCGTGGACACAAAAAAATGAAATTAAGTAGCCTATGTATTCTTCCAGACCTTACATCTATGCCAAATTTAATCGTGATCCGTTCAGCCGTTTAAGCTACAAACTCTATCAAACATCCATCATTAAAAGTCTTGCACTATAGTTATTATAACATGTACTCGTATTTGTAACATCTTCAAATAGCGGACAATAAAATCACAAGGTCATGTTCGATAAAACTTTAAAATACATATACTTATATACTTACCAGAAGGATTTTTGTAATGTTTATATTCTAAAAAAAACATTATTATTCAACAGTATTACTTGCTGCTTATTTCGTTCGAGAACAATCAATATCAAATAGGTATATTCTTGAAACTATTCGCTTTTTTAAATGTATGACTTTGTATGTACTTAAGTAAATAACTGTATGAAGAAGATCATACGTTTCTTCACATGTTTGTGGTCAACACTTAAACATTTTACTGCAAGCAACAAAGTGTAGAAAGTCCTTAGCTTTTATAAAAAAATCTGCATCCGCTATTTTCGTGGTTGTACATCTCTAATTATGTTTCTTAAATCGATGTATTAATCAATTGGTAAGTTACTTGGAAATCGATTACTTTTTAAGGTGCTATTATGTAATACATTAAATGATTTATTTGAAAATTCAGTTTAGATCATTAATTAATTAATTATAATTTAACTAAAATAGTTATGCAATTCATTTATTTCAACTTTCGTTTATCTACGCGTATATTATAAAGAGGAAAGATTTGTATTTTTGTATTTATTGAAATAACTCAAAAACTATTATGTCGATTTCAAAAATTCTTACACCATTAAAAAGCTACGTTATCAGAGTAATATTGGCTATTTTTTTAAAATCACGCGGGCAAAGTCGCGAGCAACAGCTAGTAGATTCATAAATTTGTATTGGATTTAATTATAAATGTTAAATTAATTCCATTTGTGTAATCATTTAATCCTATAACGCACTGACGTAAATTTTCCTAAAACAAACACCTTTATGCAAAACAATAAACAAAAGTGAAGAAGGCTAAGGAGGTAATGTATATTGTCAACACGTAGCAATGTCCGTTTTGGATTCAGCGGAATCTTGGAGAGTTGACTAGTTGATTACAATCGCCGAACTGTAGCCGCTACAGGCGAACGCGGATCACGCGCAACCGCGACATCACAATACACCTCTATAATATGGATGTTAATTAAAAAATAAAAAATTAAGAAATATCAAATTTTCATGCTTAAAATTTTGGTAAAGTGATGTGATTAGTTTGTGAAAATTAAAGTGATTAAAGGTGAGAAATTTAAAATTTTATTTTAAACTTGCATAAAATTAAAAAGAATACACGATTTATTTATTTAAACATTTACGTGATTCCTTTTAAAATAATTTAAAATCACTGTCAGTTAAATTATAATACAAATTTTTAAAACTATTTTACGCTTTTTTTCCAATATTACAATTTTATCCTACACTTAATATAGTCGTCGTTCGTTACATTTTTTTTTTCGTCATTGGGGCATTGAATCCTGAACTCAATAAACTACTTATCATTATTTTAACCACTAAACCATCCGAGACAACATTTTAAATGTTTTATTGGTTTTTTTGTCAACATTTTGTAGTGGCAAATATTCTAGTCACAGCACCAAAATCATGTCCTAGCTTTTAACCTATTAAAGATTAGAAAGTTATGTGCTTACATAAAAACTTCGCGAGTCATAAAGTAGTGTGACGACGGCAGCAGTCTACTTCACAAGTATTAAACAAGTAATTTTAAGCGTTCAAATCAAATTGTTACATACTAGCTTGAAAACATATTGCCTTAAGCGTGTCGTAAGTGTAGGGATTTTTATTAAAGAAAGAATCATTCAAAAATATGCTGTGATTACTGACATCCTAGGCCACGAACTAGTGTGTGTTTACGCTTTATTATATTAGTATAGATTTGGTATTGAAAGCGATTTCTTCTGCGCGGAATTAAAAAAATAAAGCCTATGTTAGTCATTGATAATGTAGCCTTTTAATAGTGATATAACTTTTTAAATGTGCCCAATAATTGTTTATACATTACATACAAAATTACAAATACTACCTCTTCATGATATTAGTATAGGCTATGTCATGTTTATTGCCTTGTCTGTAACATTTGATGTACAAACTGTCATACTTGATCATTTACGTACGCATTTTAGTTGTTTGAAATAACGACAATGGCAAGAAATTTTAAATCGACAGAAACATAAAATTACATTCAAGATAACATCACCATTGAAAATTAACACATTGCGAATGATTAATTGCGTAAAACTCATTTCGTTGTTTTAAGCATATTAGTATGAATAAGTAAAAGTATACTTTACCGAACAAATTCAAATCATCATCAGCTCACTGTACGTCTCCGATGAGGTGCTCGGATTTTACCCTAATAAGGGGTAAATATTCAAATTAATAATAGAAATTATTTTTGAATACATTTAATATAACTATTTAATATTAGGAAACACAAGTTTATCTAATGTAAATATCTATGTACGGTGAGCGACCTCAACCAATCAAGGTTCAACTATTGAAGATTTTACAAGCACGAGAGGACACTCATATCCATTGTCTATTTTCCTCCAAAACATATAATATGCCAGGAAGAATGCGAAAACAAAGTTTTTAAAACTTTTTAATATTACAAATGCTATTGGATGGTTGTATTTTTAATATGCGGTACCATCAACAAAGCAGCTGCAAACCGAGTGAATTGTAGTATATGTAGATATTTTAGAATATATAGAACACTATCTTAGACGAGCATATTTTTGAATAATTCATTCTTTAATAAAAGCCTATTAAATCATGTCGGAAAGGGACCATAAACTACAAGCTGCCAACATTAAGGAAGCAAGGATATTAAGGTTACGGTCATTTTAATATTTGCAATTGAGAATAAAAAACAATAAATAAAGATTTTATAATTTTATGCGCACGGGAACAGGTAGTTTTTTTATAATGACTACGTGTACCAACACCCATACTGTACCAGCAAAAGAGCGTACAGATATGAAAGTCTAGACAATCAAAATGACAGTAAATAAACTGAATTTGGACTGAGGTTTTCCTTATTATTCATTACATCGGTAAGCAGCCTGTTGCACTTACTTCCTTAACCTTGGATTTGTAAGGGATAACATCTTAAAGATCAAGGATCTATAATAGTACTTGCTATTTGTTATTGCAAAAAATGTTATGCTAAAAATAACCTTCACGTAATAAAATATGCAATTCGAGTGCATTGTATGCATATGATTTTATCATTCATTTCCTGTATAATGTTTGACATTTCATGAAGCGACCTGAGACTTCAGCTCTCAGATATAAACTATACGTCTAGAGAAGTTTATAATAAGCATTGATATTATAAGAAGAATGTTAACTATTGGAGAGGTACACCAGTAGAGGTAGGCGTAGAAAGGGATGGATGAATTGCGTAAATGGTTACAGGAACAAGAAGAAAGTAATAACTGAGATGTCGGTAGATATATCGATATGGAGGACGAAATGATAGGTAAATAATCTTACTTACATTATAAACGCAAAATTTTAGGTGGATAGATGTTTGTTAGTATTTGTAGCCTAAATCGCGAACGGATTTCAATGGACTTTAGTATATATATAGACAGACGCGGACGGAGTGGCGGGCGAAAGCTAGTGATACATAAAGAGATGCCACACGTGCTTTTCAACTGCGGTGCGGCGACGGCGACTGAACCACACGGCAAATATTGACGCAACGCACAACGTCACTCTATCGTCTAGTAGAGTTGAAAAACGTTATAATAATTTAAATAAATTTACAAACATAGCTATTGTAGAAGATTGAAATGTCCTTCCTCTGATAATGAAGATTAACTTTAACACAAAAAGGTCTCTTGAGTATGTGGTTGGTTAATTAAGCAAATACGTATTTTCCTAGTGTCATAAAAAGATGTGGTTTATTTTAAATGTTTTTGTACTATCTATACTATTATAATAAAGCGTAAACACACATTTCTTTGTTGCCTAAGATGTCAGCAATTACAGCATATTTTTGTATAATTCCTTTTTTAACGAAAAGCTCTACACTTGCGTCACGCTTTAGGCTACATATTTTAACGCCACTAGACTTAGGGGATAAATATTCTGGATAAAAACCCTAATGTGGGAAAGAGACCATAAGTTGCTGCCAACATCAAGGAAGCAAGTTTGTCATGTCATGTCATTTTGACATTTGTAATTGATAATTTGACAAATGTAAACAATGAAATAATTTTTTTATAATTTCATGCGGATGAAGTCGCACGGGAACAGCTAGTGTTTCTATATTTTAAATCATAGTAAGTTCCAATTGTTAGTACAAGTGTACCTATAGTCTATTAAGTAGCATTCAATTTATTTGTACAATATGACCAGTCTTTACTTACTTTTTGCACTCCAATACATCATAGTTCATAGGATGTTAGTGAAACGATTACCAAACAGGATTCCCTAAGTAGGTTTTACTGCTTCTAATATTCAAGTTGTAAACTTTCACGCCGTTTACATAAACACGGATATACACGGAGACAACATTTAAATCTTGTTTCTGTCTATAACATTTATCTTGCCTATTTCCAGACATACTATTAATTAAAGGTCTTCAAACATTACAAAAGTCTTCAATAATCCATTTAGACCTTGAGATTCGCAGATAATTTGGAATTTCGCATGCATTCAGCGCATGATGGTGTAAGAATAGTTACATAACAGAGTATTGTGTACCATCTCAATATATGTACATACGTGACTGGTAATGATTCGAGTTCGCCATTCACCAATACAGGGTTAACTTTGAAATCAATGTCTTCGTTATTATTAACCACAGTTAATATCACGATAGTACAGCTACATGGAGAAATTGTGAAGCAAAAGGTTAGCGTGGTATGGACATGTTATGCGACGAGACGATGGGGACATAAATCAGAAAGTGTTAAGAATGAATGTGGATGACTACAAAGAAAGAGGAAGGCCAAAAAAGTATGGATGGTTTGTGTAAAAGAGGATATGCTTAAGAAAGGAGTGGAATCAGATTTGACGGCTGATAGCGATGTATGGAAGAGCAGCACATACTGTGCCGACCCTCCATAAGGGATAAGTGCAAGTTGATCATGATGACAGCTAAAGGGATTAATATTTTGTTATATATTATTATTATTTCACTAATGTATTTCTAGCCTTTAAAAAAAGGATACACCTCTCAAATAATCATGTACGAAAAGTGTCAAAAATAGCTAAGAAGGTAAATAATTTAATGTACATTTTATTTGTATGGGTACGTGTTATTTTTTTAATTTGAAGATTTAAATTAAAATTAAATATACTTTTATCTGTTTTAAAGTGAAGAAGTGAGTAAATTAAAAATACATTTATTAAACCAAAATTACAATTTAAGGATAATACGCTAGATCGTATAATAATGGTCGGTAACATCATTTTCCGTTATTACTTAATCACACAGTTTACGCTTGCGACAACGCGATCGCAAACCACTCGAATAAATGATCGTTGACAACTAAATTGTAACTTCATTTGTGTTTACCAAGTAAATAGTTTGTTCATATTTTTTGGTATAACATTATCCTCGCAACGAAATTAACTAATCTATACTACTAGTATGAATAGGAAAGATTTGTATTGTTGGATTTTTGTACATATTGAAATAACTCAAAAACTACTGGACCGATTTCAATACTTGCACCATTAATAAGCTATGTTATCACTGATTAACAAAGGCTACATTTTTACTATAATATTATTTCATGCAGGCGAAGTCGCAAGCAACAGTGAGTAAAAACTGCTAGACGTTATTATTTATTTCGACTAAACTTGAAATCTATTAAATATTCATCCATATAGAGTTACAATATCTATATTCCGCTAATTCTTTTTCCTTCTATCTAGTTCTACGGTTCTTATCATAAGGTAAAATTCCTAAACAAGCGAAGCATAACTATATTAAATCTAATTAAGATAACTGAATATAATTCTGATTTAATATTTAAAAAAAAAACAACGTTGCACTTTTTGCTAACATCGTGGATAAAGTCTTAATTCGATAGCAATTAGTTAAAGTTATGCTAAGACTGTAGTAGTGTTCAGGCACCTGGAAAAATATTCTCTAAGACGCCATAAACACAGATTTTATCTTTTTTTTAATAGAACTGCGACCTTGTATAACCAGCGATTCCATTGTTGCCTAACTTGCAGTACCTACATCAGAGTAATCAC